CGCAAAGTCCCTCCAGCCAATGAATGACCAGGAGTGTTGTATCCGCACAGTCCCTCCAGCCATTGAATGACCAGGAGTGTTGTATCCGCACAGTCCCTCCAGCCAATGAGTGAGCAGGAGTGTTGTATCTGCACAGTCCCTCCAGCCAATGAGTGAATGACTTGGCTTTGCTGTTTGTTTTGAAGGATGATGTCGTGCTGGTGGAAAGCAACCATTTGTCGTTTGTTTACGATGACAGTGAGTGTTCACTGGTCATTCTCAACACCACTGAGTCCGACAGCGGAGTCTACACATGTACCGCCACAAACTTGGCTGGAGAGGTTTCCTGCAAAGCTGAGCTCACCATTCTGAAAGGTAAGTAACCGAGCAGAGAAACCTGTTCTCCGAATGATAGCACAGGACACCTGGTGGGAGTAATGTCACCAGACACAACATGTTTTATTTCAGGGGATGTGGGTGTCACTGGTAAATCCAGCATTTCTTTCCCATCCCTAATGGCCCTTTAACTGAGTGGCTTACTGGGTTATTTCAGGGGGCAGTTAGGAGTCAACCACATTGTGGGACTGGAGTCTCACTTAGGTCAGACAGTTTCCCCCCCACCAAAAGGGCATTAGTGAACCAGGTGGGTTTTTCCAACAATTGGCAATGGATTCATGGTCATTATTAGACTCCTTAGTTCAAATTCCACCATCTGCCATGACGGGATTCGAACCCTGGTCCCCAGAACATGGCCTGGGTCTCTGAATCGACAGTCCAACAATAATACCACTGGGCCATTGCCTCCCCATTTAAGCTTGTGCTTAAATGTATTCCAACCAGTAGATGTTAGAATGGGCCAAGTGGTCTCCTTGACTCCTGTTTCCTACATTCAATGCCATGGATAAAGCTGGGCACATTCCCTACTCTCTCCTTACCTCATTGTAGCAAAGGCTACAGATTTCTGAGAGTTTATAGTCCAGCAGGAGAGGCATTTAGATGTGCCCTTGCAATGCCAAGGCACACAAGGCAATGATTGATTGACTGATTTTATTGTCACGTGTACTGAAATAGTGAAAAGTTTCGTTTATGAGCGGTACAGGCAGATCACAGCAAGAAAAGGATGTACAGATCAAAAAGACTTAGAAGTCACTGGACCTGAAACGTTAACTCTCTTTTCTTATTCACAGATGATGCCAGACCTGCTGAGCTTTTCCAGCAAATTTGTTTTTGTTCCTGATTTACAGCATCCGCAGCTCTTTTGGTTTTTATTCAGCGTTATTTGAGGCGAGAGTCCATTCAACAGTCTGATAACGGCCAGAAAGAAGCTATTCCTGAACCTGCTCATGTGTGTGTTCAGGCTTCTGTATGTACTGCCTGACAGTAGAGGGTGTAGGAGATGATTACCGGGGTGTGATGGGTCTTTGATGATGTTGGCAGCCTTTCTGCAGCAGCGAGCTGTGTAAATGGAGTCCATGGATGGAAGGTTGGCTTCAGTGATGGTCTGTGCTGTGCACACCACCTTCTGCAGTTTCTTATGGTCCTGGGCAGAACAGTTGCCATACCAGCCCGTTATGCACCTGGACAGTAATTTTCCAATGGTGCATCTGTAGAAGTGACGAGGGGCCTTATGGACATGCCAAATTTCCTGAGCCGCCTGAAGAAGGAGAGGGTTGTTGCACCTTCTTGACTGTCGCATATACATCGGAAGTCCAGGACAGGCCCTCGGTTGTTGTCACTCCGAGGAACTTAATGCTTTCCACCCTTTCAATCTCAGTTCCGTTGATGTAGATGGGGGCATGTTCTCCTCCTTTCATTCTGAAGCTGATGATCAGTTCTTTAGTTTTGCCGACATTGAGAGACAGATTGTTTTAATTGCACCACGTCACCAAGCCCTTTATTTCCCTTCTGTAGTTTGACTCGTCGATGTTAGATATCCGTCCCACTACTGTGGTGTCATCAGCGAATTTGTAGATAGCATTCGTTCGGAATTTGGCAACACAGTCGTAGGTGTACAAGCAGTACAGTAGGGGGTTGAGGATGTATCCTTGGGGTCTCCAGTGTTGAGTATTACTGTGGAGGAGGTGCAGTTACCTATCTTCACTGATTGCGGCCTATGGGTCAGAAAGCTGAAGATCCAGTTGAAGAGGGCAGAGCAGAGACCTAGGTCTCGGAGTTTTGAGATCAGTCTGGAGGAGATAATGGTGTTGAAGGCAGAGCTGTAGTCAATGAGCAGGAGTCTGACATAGGTGTCATTGATGTCCAGATGTTCCAGGGATGAGTGCAGGGCTAGTGACATGGCATCCTTTATGGATCTGTTACGTCAGTAGGCAAACTGTAGGGGATCGGGGCAGGTTGGGAGACTGGAGTGGGCCAAGTGCTGGAAAATGGGAGTTTGATGGTTGTTTTTGACTGGCACAGACTGGATGGGCCAAAAGGCTTTTTTCCGTGCTGTTGACCTCAAAGACAAATAGAATTAAGGTCTCTATGTCTAACCTTTTGAATGCCTTTATACATTAAAGGGCTCCAGCAAGGTTCCCAGTCTCCTGTTTCCAACTATAACTTGTTTAGTCTCTTTGCGAAGTGCTCAGAGCTGGAATAAGAGCTATCAGCTCACTGACCTTGTTGTGTTAATAGCTGCTGTGATATTTTCTGCACCCCTGATCGATGCTAACCCTGTTGAAGCCAGGCCTTGCTGTTATCAGGGTAATGAATGGTTGGCAGGCAGGCTGGGATTTTTCTGAATTAATCAGCTCAGGTCTGAGTCAAGGTTCTGCCTCGGAAACTGGATGAGGAGCAATGGCTCTCAGGAGACTGCGCTGAGCTCATCTGAGGAATTATCAGTCCTGCTCCTTCTAATGGTTTCTCAGGAATGATTTGACCCTGGGACAAGGATGGGGGTGGGGTTGGGGGGTAGAGAGTGTCAAGGGCTGGGGAACATGATGAAGAATATTTGTATCCCAGACACAGGAGGGGCAGTCCCTCCTAGGACCTGAACAGGAAAGCGAGACGTTAGCATACTCCACCAAACAGGCCAATCACATGCCATCCGTTAGCGCAGCCTCCAGGCTGGCACCTTGGCTAGCTCAGTTGGTTGGACGTCTGGCTTGCAATGTACAGTGCCAACAGCACAGGTTCAGTTCCCACTCTCCCTGAGATCAATGCAGAGACCCTTGTTCCTCAATCTCACTCAGTGCCTCAGGGTGTAGTAACAGGTTTAACCCCCCCACTCTCACCTTCATGTCTCTCTCTCTTCCCCCCCCACCAATGACAGAGCAGCCAATGGCCCTCAGGGAATGTGGATAGTGACTTTTTTTCCTATTCATTTGAGGGACATGGGCATCTCTGGCTGGGCCCAGCATTTATTGCCCATCCCTAGTTGCCCCGTGAGAAGGTGGGTGTGAGCTGCCTTCTTGAACCATTGCAGTCCACCTGCTGTGGGTTGACCCACAATGTCCTTAGGTAGGGAATTCCAGGATTTTGACCTAGTGACGGTGAAGGAACGGCAGACACAGGGACAATGTGCAAACTCCAGTCACCTGAGGCCGGAATTGAACCCGGGTCCCTGGTGCTGTTGAGGCAGCAGTGCTAACCACTGTGCTGCCACCTTTCTGTCTTTTCACCATAACCCTTGATTTCCCAACTGATCAAAAATCTATCCAACACAGGTTTAAATATACACAAGGACTCTGCTCCCACAGCTCTCTGTGGCAAGGAGTTCCAAAGACTCACTACCCTCTGAGAGAAGAAATTCCTTCCCATCTCAGTCTTAAATTGGTGCCCCTTTATTCTGAGACTGTGCCCTCCTAGACCCTCCCATGAGGAGAAACATCCTCTCAGCATTGACCCTATCAAGCCCTTTAAGAATCCTGCACGTTTCAATGAGATCACGTCTCATCTTCTAACCTCCAGTGAGTAGAATTCCAACCTGTTTAGCCTTTGCTTATAAAACAATCGTGGACCTTCTCTGAACTGCCTCCAGTGAAATGATATTTTTCCTTAAACAAGGGAACAACGTAGCTCAAAATACTTCCGATGTGGTCCCTCCAGCACCTTGTACAGTTGCTGTGAGACTTGCCTACTCTTATACTCCAACCCCCTTGAAATAAGGGCCAACATTCCATTGCCCTTCCTGATTCCCTGCTGCCCCTGTGTGCTAGTTTTCTGTGTTTTATTGACAAGTCCTCCCATATCCCTAAGTATTGCAGCTTACTTTAGGTTTTCTCTGTTTAAATTATATCCTGTTCTTTTGTTCTCCCTTCCAAACTGAACAATATCACATTTTCCCACATTATACTCCATTTACCAACTGTTTTACCCACTGACTGGACTTATCAGTGAACTGGTGTTTTCCCTATGCTCTACTCTTTTCCAGGGAAAATTGGGAATGTTGAACCCATGGATGACGAGGATACGATCTTACGGAAAATGAGGCTGTTATCTGATTATTACGATGTGCACCAGGAGATCGGGAGGTGAATGGCACAGGGTGGCAGGGACATTACACTGGGGGTGGGGGTGGGGGTGGGGAGAGGAGTGAGGGGGATGTGGGTCGGGAGATTACATTTAAATTCAGTTCCAGGGCCAATCAGACGTTTCTGAAATATTCTCAATCGAAGACTGAATGATCCGTGAAGATTTATTTATTATTTTGACGAGCTGTGAGTGTTGAGTCATAGAGATACACAGCACGGAAACAGATCCTTCGTTCCAACTTGTCCATGCTGACCAGATATCCTAAATTAACCTAGTCCCATTTGCCAGCATTTGGCCCATATCCCTCTAAACCCTTCCTATTCATATACCCATCCAGATGCCTTATAAATGTTGTAATTGTACCAGCCTCCTCCACTTCCTCTGGCAGCTCATTCCATACATGCACCACTCTCTGTGTGAAGTTGCCCCTTAAGTCCCTTTTAAATCTTTCCCTTCTCACCTTAAAAATATGCCCCCTACTTTTGAACTCCCCTACCCTGGGGAAAAGACCTTTGCTATTCAACTTATCTCTGCCCCTCATGATTTTATAAACCTCTGTAAGGTCACCCCTCAGCCTCCGATGCTCCTGGGACAAAAGTTCCAGCCTATCCAGCCTATCTATAACTCAAACCCTCCAGTCTCAGGAATATCCTTGTTTATCTTTCCGCCCCATTTCCAGTATCCTTCGTACAGCAGGGTGACCCAGAATTGTACACAGTACTCCAAATGTGACCTCACCAAGGTCCTGTACAGCCACAACATAACTTTCTAACTCCTGTACTCAGTGCTCTGACTAATGAAAGCAAGCATGCCAAATGCCTTCTTCATCATCCTGTCTATCTGTGATGCCACTTTCAAGGAACTATGTACCTGCATCCCCCCCGTCTCCCTATTCGACAACACCGTCCCCACCACCCCCACCTCTAGCGCCATACCATTAACTGTGTAAACCCTGCCCTGGTATGCCTTAACAAAATACAACACCTCACATTTATCTAAATTAAACTCCATCTGCCATTCTTTGGCCCATCTGATCAAGGTCCCATTATACTCTGAGATAACCTTCCTCACTGTCCACTATATCATCTGTTTTGGTGTCATCTGCAAACTTACTAATCATTCCTCCTACGCTTTTCCTCAAATCATTTATATAAGTGACAAACAATAGTGGACCCAGCGCCGATCCCTGTGGAACACCGCTGGTCACAGGCCTCCAGTACAAAAAACAACCTTGAATCACCACCGTCTGTCTCTTACCCAGTCAATTTAATATCCAACTGGCTAGCTCTCCCTGGATCCCCTGTGATCTAACCTTACTAACTAGTCTACCATGTGGAACCTTGTCGAAGGCCCTGCTAAACTCCATGATGACAACGGGCTGTATGTATGTACGGATTATTGTAGAGTCATAGAGGCCTACGGCATGGAAACAGGCCCTTCAGCCCAACTTGTCCATTCTGTCCAGTTTTCACAGTTAAACTAGCCCCATTTGCCTGTGTTTGGTCCATATCCATCCATATGTATCCTATCCATATACCTGTCTAAATGTTTCTCAAATGACAAAATTGTATTCACCTCTACCACTACCTCTGGCAGCACGTTCCAGACACTCACCCCACTATGTGTGAAAAAAATTACCCCATGCACCCTCTTGTATCTCTCCCCTCTCACCTTAAACCTATCCTGTCTAGTTTAGACTCCCCTACCATGGGGAAAAGCTGTTGGCTGTCTACCTTATCCATGCCCCTCATGATTTTATAGACCTCTATACGGTCTCTTATATCTCTATAACACTCCAAGGTTATACATCAATAACCTAGTGTTTGACCTGCTGGAGTAGACCCCACTTTCACACAAACATTATTCACAGTACGCAGGCAGTTCAGCTGCTCAGTGAGGGAGTTATTTTTGGATAAAAGTTGTGTACAGAGATACAGAGAAAAGGCAGGAGTTTGGGGCTAGGTAATGGGCTGAATGGCCTCCTTCTATGCCATAACAATTCTGTGATTCCATGTAGTGGGTGCTTATGCTTCACATCATAGAATTATACAGAAGAGGCCCTTCAGCCCATCAGGTCTGTACTGCCATAGATATACTATGATCTACACTAGTCCCACTTTCTCGCATTAGGCCCATATGAATGTTATGACACTTTAAGAGTTCATCCAAGTACTTTTTAAAGGTTCTGAGCTTTACCGCCTCAACTACCCTCCAGGCAGTGCATTCCAGATCGCCACACCTCCTCTGGGTGATTCAGGTTACCTCAAATCCCCTCTAAACCTCCTGCCTTTCACTTTAAAATGACATCCCTTTGTTACTGACCCCTAGACTAAGGGGAACAGCTGCTTTCTACTAATCCTGTCCTTGTCCATCATAATCCTGTGACACCTTTGTTAGGTTCCCCGTCAGCCTTGTCCCACCCCTGCTTCATCTCACCCCACCATCATATCCCCCTATTCTGTTCTCCGTCATGTTTATCCAGCTTTCCCCAAAATCTAGTGAAAGTATTCCGCATGAGAATTCCCTAAGGGAGTCAATCTCATATCACCCTCACTCGCTGGGGAAGGCCATCTCTCCCAAATTCTCAATCGGATTTATTAGGGACACTCTTGATTCCCATAAGACCATCAGATATAGGAGCAGAATTAGGCCATTCGGCCCATCATGTTTGCTCACCCATTCAATCATGGCTGTTTCGTTTCTCAACCCCATTCTCATGCTTTCTCCTGGTAACCTTTGATTCCCTCATTAATAAAGAACCTATCTCATCTATGATAAAGAGATAATAAGGTGTAGAGCTGGATGAACACAGCAGGCCAAGCGGCATCAGAGGAGCAGGAAAGCTGACATTTCAGGCCTGGACTCTTCACCTTGTTATCTCAGATTCTCCAGCATCTGCAGTTCCTACTATCTCTCTATCTCATCTATCCCTGTCTTAAAGACACTCAGTGACTTGGCCTCCACAGCCCTCTGCAGTAATGAGTTCCACAGATTCACCACCCTCTGGTTGAAGAAATTCCCCCTCATCTCAGTTCTAAAGGGTCATCCCTTCACCCTGAGGCTGTGTTCGCAGGTTCTAGCCTCTCCTTCTGGTGGAAACATCTTCTCCATGTCCACTCTATCCTCTCAGAATTGTAAAGCCGTAGAGTCATGCAGCACAGAAACAGACCTTTTGGTCAAACTTGTCCATGCTGACCAGCTTTCCCAAACTAACCTAGTCCAATTTGCTTGCGTTTGGCCCATATCCCTCTAAACAGATCCCCTCCCTCATCCTTCTAAACTCCATCTAATACAGACTCAGAGTCCTCTGACAATTCCTCCTACCTCTGGCCCCTCTCGCCAGTCATAAATTGATACAGTTCAGGAAAGACCCTTCAGCCCATCGACAATAACTGCCACTGAAGGTGCACTAGTCCCAATTTCCCAAGCATCCCCTTCGTGTCTGCCCTGTTGGATTCTCTTCAATCCGCTTCAAGACCCTCCCATTCCTGTAGCAGTCAGTTCAGTCTTTCCGAGATAGTCTGAACCTCTCCCTTCCTCTCAGCAGATAGTCGCCCAGTTTCCCAGTCCTGAGGCGCTGACGCTACCGTGTGCTGATTTTAACCACCGTTTCTCTGTTTCCCTTTGCCAAAGGGGTGCGTTTTCATGCGTCAAACGGGTCACAGAGAGGAGCAGCAAATTAGACTACGCCGCCAAGTTCATTTCCTTCCGTGCCACTCCCCGGGACGATGCGGTGAGGGAGCTCGAGATTCTGTCCCAGCTCGATCACGAGAGGATTGTCTTCTTCCATGACGCTTTCGAGAAAAAGAGCAGCATCATTATTGTACTGGAGCTGTATCCTTTCACAACGCCGTACGGCCCCGGGGGACACAGTTGGGGCCACCTCCTCACACAGGGCCCACTCAAAACCTGACTCTGAGAATCCCTTTGCGAAACAGTTTGGGGCCTAGTCGAGGGTCCAGCGGGTACTGGGTCCTCCCCTCTGACCCCGCAGCAGGGTCTGACCCACAGTGTTGTGAGTGCCACCATGATGAGGGCAGGGAGACAGCTCCTGAATCGGAATGTGTCTTGAACCCCGGGCCCTTCCAGCCAATTGGAATAACCATCCCTCCCCCCTCCCACAATCCTCGGAACATGAACTCCAGGGGCAACATACCACTTTTCCACATCAAACAGGAACTGCAGCAGGCCATTCGGCCCCTCGAGCTTCCTGTAAGGCCACGCCTGATCTGATTGTTGTTTGAATTTCATTCCCCATCTAAATCCCCTCCCCCCCAGGGGCTAACTAGAATCTATTTACACACACATTGTTGTAATCTGGAGCTGCGGATATTAATGGTAGGAACATTGGGAGAGGTCATTCAGCCCATCAAGCCTGCTTAGGGGACAGCAAGGTGGCTCAGTGGTTAGCACTGCTGCCTCACAGCGCCAGGGACCTGGGTTTGATTCCACCCTCAGGCGACTGTCTGTGTGGAGTTTGCACATTCTCCCCGTGTCTGTGTGGGTTTCCTCCGGGTGCTCCGGTTTCCTCCCACAGTCCAAAGATGTACAGGCTAAATTGCCTGTAGTGTTCAGGGATGTGTAGATTAGGTGGGTTATGGGGAGATGGGTCTGGGTGGGATGCTCCAATGGTCGGTGTAGACTTGTTGGGCCGAAGGGCCTGTTTCCACACTGTAAGGATTCTATGATCCACTATGCAGTGTGATTGTGGCTGATCAACTACCCTCTCTACCCTTTACCCATCCCCATATCCCTGTACCTCACGGGGAATCAGAAATCAGTCAGTTTCTATCTTGAACATACTCAAAAACTGAGCAGCCTCAGTCCTCTGGAAAATTCCAAATCTGAGTAAAAAGAATGATTGAGGTTATGGTGAAGTGCAGCAATTTGCACACAGTAAGATCCCACAGTCGACAGGGTGACAATAGCCAGCTAGTTCTGTGTCTGTGATGCTGACCCCTGACATGGAACAGAATCACCCTGCTCTCCTGCAAAATAGTGCCAGGGGATTTTATTTTCCCCTTCCTGCAAGGATGTTCGAGAAGATAAAATAAAACAAAGAACTGCGGGTAGTGGAACTCTGAAATAAAAACACAGAATCATAGAATCCCTACAGTGTGGAAACAGGCCCTTCAGCCCAACAAGTCCACACCGACCCTCAGACCATCCCAGCCAGACCCATACCCAGACACTACGGGCAATTTAGCATGGCCAATCCACCTAACCTGCACATCTTATAGAGTGCTGGAGAAACTCATCAGGTCCCACAGCATCGGTGGAGAGAGAAACAGAGTTAACATTTCCAGTCCAGTGGACTTGAAACATTAAATATCCTTACTTTCCATATATTAGGTAGGATCTTGGTTAGATTGCATGCAGAAGACAGCATCTCCTGCAGTACTTAGCAGGAGGCGCACTCAACATGATGCTCTGGTTACCATGGGACAGGGGCCTGGTGACTGTGAGGGGACAGGGAGTAAGAGGACACTGAGATTGCCATCTGTCCACCAACTGGAATTGTCATAATACCCACAAGTTCTGAGGTGGGGGAATTATTATAGAAGCCCTACAGTGTGGAAACAGGCCCTTCGGTCCAACAAGTCCACACCGACCCTCAGAGCATCCCACCCAGACCCATCCCCCTATAACCCACCTAATCTACACATCCTGAACACTACAGGCAATTTAGCATGGCCAATCCACCCTAGGCTGTACATCTTTGGACTGCAGGAGGAAACTGGAGCACCCGGAGGAAGCCCACGCAGACACAGGGAGAATGTGCAAACTCCACACAGACAGTCGCCCAAGGGTGGAATCGAACCCAGGTCCCTGGTGCTGTGAGGCAGCGGCGCTAACTGGGTTCTACAATCAAGGACGAGGTAACTGATCACCTCGGAAAAGTTGAATTAATCAGGAAGAGTCAGCATGGATTCATGAAGGGTAGGCCATGCCTGACAAATCTCAGAGTGTTTTGAAGAGGTGACAAAGGTGGTGGACAGAGTTAAGTTGATTAATGTTGTTTATATGGACTTCCAAAAGGCTTGTGATAAAGTCCCGCTCGAGAGATTGTTAGTTAAGGTGGAAGCCTGTGAAATTCAGGGCAAATTACTGGCATGGATAAGGAACTGGTTGAGTGGCAGGAAACAGAGTGTTGGAATAATAGGTAAATTTTCAAACAGGCAGGACATGATTAATGGTGTCCAGCGGGGATCTATCTGTATTGGAGGCTCAATTATTCACAATATTCATTAATGACTTCGATAGTGGCATAAAAAGTCAAATTTGCTGATGGCCCAAAATTGGGCAGCATTATAGATAGTGTTGACGACAGCATAAAATTACAACAGGATTTGGACAGACTAGGTGAATGTGAATAACTGTGGCAGATGGATTTGAATATTAGCAAGAGTGAAGTGATCCATTTTGTTCCAAAATGGATAAATCTGGATAATGTTTTAGAAGGTGCAATGTAAAATGCTGTGGATGTCCAATCAGATTTGGGGATTCAGCTACTTATCTCTTTATAATGCCATAAACAGCTGCAGAAAATAGCCCAGAAGGATAATGGAATACTGGCCTTCATATCTAAAGCACTGGAATATTGGGATACTGATGTTGTGCTGCAGTTATCCAAAACGCCAGTTACAGCCCACTTCGAGCCTTGTGAGCAGATCTGGGTACCATACCTTAGGAAGGATGTTATAGTCCTGGGGGGAGATCAGTACAGGTTTACAAGGATGATACCTGGGCTTCAGGGGGTACCTTATGAGGACATTTAGACAAATTATGCCTTTATTCTTGAGAATTTAGAAGGTTAAGTGGTGATCGAATTGAGGTCTTCAAGATATTAACAGGGAAGGACAGGGTAGATAAAGATAAAAACCAAGGAAGGGTCACCAGACCCGAAATGTTAACTCTGTTTTCTCCTCCACAGATGCTGCCAGACCTGCTGAGCTTTTCCAGCAACTTCTGTTTGTGTTGTAGATAAAGATAAACTATTCCCACTGGGTGAAGATTGTAGAACCAGGGGCATTGTCTAAGAACAAAGACCAGGCCATTCAGGAAACATGTTAGAAAGAGCTTCGACACACATACAATGGTGGAGATTTGGAATGAAAACAACAAATGCTGCAGATCACAGCGGGACACGCAGCATGCATAGGGAGAGAGCAAGCTAATGGTTCGAGTCTAGATGCCTCTTCATCAGAGCTGAAGTGAAGTGTGGAGGGGACAGATTTTACACAATAATAGGGGCAGGGGGTGTGCTGGAGTGCTGGGGGACAAAGGACCTTGATAGTGCAATTGATAGAGATTTGGAACTCTCTTCATCATCAGCAGTCGATGCTAATTCAGTTGCTGAATTTAAATCTGGGATAGATAATGATTTTTAATAAGCAAGGTACTGGGGGTATGGGCCCAAGGCAGGTATACAGATCTAGGTCACAGACCAGCCATGATCTTATTGAAAGTTGGAGCAGGCTGGATGGGCTGAATGGCCAACTCCTGTGGCTATATTGACATGTGAAGGAAAAATGGGAACTAGATCTGAGGTCAGCAGGAAATAAAATGTCTGAGAGATATCAAACAAGTGACTGAATCAATATTAACCATTTTCCATTTGGTCACAGTAACAAGGAGCTTTACTCTGTATCTAACCCCATGCTGTCCCTGTCCTGGGAGTGTTTGATGGAGATAGTGTAGAGGGAGCTTTACTCTGTATCTAACCCCATGCTGTCCCTGTCCTGGGAGTGTTTGATGGATGACGGTGTAGAGTGAATTTTATCTGATATTGTTAGTGACCTGAGGCCTGTAGTAAGAGCTGAGTCGCTGCGTCCTAATGGCAGTATTTGACCCAGGGGTGGCACAGTGGCTCAGTGGTTAGCACTGCTGCCTCACAGCGCCAGGGACCCGGGTTTGATTCCACCCTCAGGAAACTGTCTGTGTGGAGTTTGCACATTCTCCCCGTGTCTGCGTGGGTTTCCTCTGGGTGCTCCGGTTTCCCCCCACAGTCCAAAGATGTGCAGGTTACGTGGATTGGCCATGCTAAACTGCCCATAGTGTTCAGGGATGTGTAGATTAGGTGGGTTATGGGGGTATGGGTCTGGGGGTGATGCTCTGAGAGTCAGTGTGGACTTGTAGGGCTGAAGAGCCTGTTTCCACACTGTAGGGATTCTATG